CCTCTACTCTCTCCCTTCACCGTTGTCCCCAGAAGTCGCCTCGCCACTTGAGGGGGCTCCCCGCGCCCCTCGCTTTGTGCTGCCACCCATGGATGGGCCCTGCGCTGCCCTCGGAACAGTGCGCGGTAACCCGCGAATCCATCCGGATGCTTGGGGACCTAGTAGCCGATGGGGGTGGGGGGACGGTGCGCGGAGACCGGGTATGTGCGGGGTCCTCCATCACGTCACAGCCCCCCAGGGAACGCAGCCAGGTTGTCCCCGGAACAGCATTTTTGCTGTGAAACGTCTCCTTATCTGGAGAGCCTTTCACCCGATTTGTGTTGGTTTGGGGGGAGGGATGCGATTTAAAAGCCCAGCCTCCATTTCCTCTCTGGGAATATTTCCAAAATGGACCCCGGGTAGGTTCCGCGGGTTCCACCCCACGTCCCTGGTCGCTCCTCCACCATCTACAACCCCCCGCCCCTCGTCCCCCCCCAAGTCAGCACCAAATTTTCGAACTCATTTTTGCGACGAAAAAGCATTGTCCAGATTAGAGAGTTGTTGGGGAACAGTTGGGACGGTTATGGGAGGGGATGTTAAATATTACCTAACATTTTCATTCACTCCCACCGCCCCCACCCCCACCCCACACACAATTTAAAAGAATGGGAGAGAGGAAGGCAATTCCGTGCAATGAAAGCCATAAAGTAAAATACGAACTTGCATCTCAGCGATGAAATAAGGGAATTCTGTGCTTGGTCAGGATCACCTGCCACCCCCCAGAGATTCAGATAGAAATGGGATCTCGTCTCCATTAGGTTTACGCGTCCAGAAATGATCAATGTGGCCTAAATCACAAAAAAAGGTGAATTAATTATTTGGAAGTCATGTGTGGTTCCCAGACTGGCCTATTGTACCCATGATATGGTCAAAATAGCTGGGAATGGGGTTGGGGGAACCCACAGGGGAAAAATAGAGGCTCAGACGCCCATTCCACCCTCCTGGGGTCTGGGTCAGCCGCATGGTGTTGTTCCTACACCAGGGGTTGAAATCAGAAGTCTGTGCCCTGGATGTCAGTGTGTTCTCCAGACTTCAGAGGTACCCAGAAGTGTTTGGGGCTGTCTACATGTGCACAGTGAAAGGCTGATGTAGCCATATTCTAGAATGTTCAGGGCCCCACACAGTGTTGTCAGAGAAAATGTGTTGCTCCTGAGGCTTGCTGATGGGTGTTGCTTTGTGGAGTTACCACTTGGCCTTCTGCTTTGGCCCTTTCAGCTTGAGGTCTCTCGGGACACTTCTGGCGCCCTCTTAGCCAGGCCTTGGCTGCTCTGTCACGCGGACTCTCAAACTTGCAAAGATAGATTTCGATGGGTAGGGTACCGGGACCCGAGCCTGGTTCCTTCAGCCAAGCCTTCATGGTTCATTTCAGCCTGAATGTCCTGGAGACTTCCCAGAGCCCCCAGGAAGAGGGACAGCATCACCCAGGAACTGTGAAACTTCTGCTTTAGATGCTTAATGTCGGCCCTCAGACGGAAGGGTCAAGGACGTATCGCCATGGCAGGCTCCATCCCTGGCCCTGGTCAGGGCGTGAGTGTGTGCAGGAGGCAACCAATGGATGTCTCTCTCTCACAGGATGTTTCTTTCTCTTTGACTCTCCCCTTTCCTTCCACTCTCTCTAAAAAAAATAGATGAAAAATATCCTCTGGTGAGGATGAACAGCAACAACAAAATGCTTAAGAAAAAATGCCCTTGGAGGCTTTTTGTGTCTGCACAGGTAGGGGTCTCCCAGGAGCTGTTCCAGGGTCTGCCACAATGTTTGCTGCAGGCACAGCCCCTCGCTTTCATCCCTCCTCCCAGCTGAGCCCGCCCTCCTGATTCCATCCCCCTGGCAACGGATCTGCGTCTTGGTGCTGACATGCGCCGTGTCAGGTGCCTGTCCCTGCAGATGCTGGCTGGCCCTTAACATGCAGCCAGCCAAGTGTCCCTGCCACCTGCCAGCCTTGCTCTGACCCACACTCCTTGCCCGAGGGGTGGGCAGGAGCACAAAGGTGAAGGAGGAGATGGTCTCTTATCTGAGCACCTCTTTTTGCGCAGTCCAGCCGCCTCCCAGCCAGAGGGAGAGAGACTGGAACTCGGCCTGTTCTGCTGTTCTGCTCCCTGACCACAGGGAGTGGTGTGACCCCAGGGGGCTCAGGGTCCCTCAGTGTAAAATGCACCCCGTATCTTCTTGGGGCAGCTTCTGCCACAGCATCTGGACCCCCCCCCCCGGGGCATGGGTGAGGGGCATTTTGTTGGACATGTGCGAGTCCAAAGGAGTGGGCAGCGATGGGCACTTCTCAGCAGCGGCTGCCGGGGTTCCTCCTGCGACGTGGGCCGGCAGTCACTTCTCATAGCTGAGATGCAAGTCCAGGAGGGTCAGGCCCAGGCCGCGCACAGGCTCTGTGAGATACTAGTGCGTCTGGGACACTGGAAAGAGCACGTGATTTGGAGTCAGTCAGGCCCGGGTTGGAATCCCAGCTTGATAATGAACTCTTGGGCGAGCCAGGTGAGCGGCCCGGGCCTCAGGTTCCCCACCGGTCGAGTAGAATAATAGAAGGCAGCCCAGCCCAGAGGGTGGCAGTGTTGTTGCTTGCCATGTCCCCTCCTGAAACGCAGTTTTTGTTTCTGGGCTCCTAGGCCTGTATGAACTTCACCTCGTCACCGATAGCCCTGCCACCACGGGGGCAGAGGTGAACATCACGGCGAGCCTGGTGGCCAGCGACAACGGCAGCCTGGTCCTGCCCACCGACCCGCACTCCTACCGCTTCCACTGGGTCCACAGCCCGCTGATGCTCAAGGGGAAGACGGAGGAGGCGTTCAGATCCACCATCCGCGCCGTGGGCAACGTGCCTGGGGACTTCCCCATCTCCGTGTGGGTCACCAGCGCCGACTGCCAGATGTGCCAGCCGGTGGCGAGGAGCCGCCTCGTCCTCTCCATCACAGGTGGGGACCTTTCCTGCTTGCTAATTGGCCTTCAGACTCTGGGTGCAGGGAAACATCCGGCCTGGCTAGTAATGACAGAAATGCACACTAGACCCCTGACTCCTCTGTGGTCAGTTGAGTTAACAAAGGATCAGCCTGGCCCACCTGGCTCAGTGGTTGAGTGTCGACCTACGGACCAGGAATGGACCATGGTTCCATTCCAGTCAGGGCACATTCCCGGGTTGTGGGCTCCATCCCCAGTGTAGGAGGCAGCCAATCAATGATTCTCTCTCATCATTGATGTTTCTCTCTCTCCCTCTCTCTCTTTGAAATCAATAAAAACATGTTAAAAACAAAACAAAAACAAAGGGTCAGAAAATGGTAGTACCCACTGCTGGCAGGGCTGTGCTGAAACGGGCACTATAAAAGCACCTGTTGCTCCTGGGGGTATAAATGAATACAACCCTTTGGAGAGCAGCGGATCAACATAGAAACATTACTGTTCATTTTCATTCTCTCCTTCTCCCCCACCGCCTTCCCGCCTTCCAAAAGGTCCCTGCTCTCTTGGAAT